CCATCAAGGAAACAAATGGTTGATAGTTCCTCGCTCCCAAGGTCAGACCTGGGTCAAACTGGTGATTTGTGTACTTGGGTGCCAAACTGTCTTTCTTTTGCTTTGAGCAACAGACACTTCAGCACCGACTTCATCTAGGCAGAATCACCTTCCTTCGTATGAAGCCCTGGTTCACACGCAGACATGCCCTCACAAGCAGGGAGAGAGAGAGAGAGAGCACGTCTTTGGTCCACCTGTGTTCTCTCAAGCTACCTGCATGGCATTGGAAGCAGCGGACTTCGGAAGGAAGGGCTTCAACTGCTTTGCAACAGATACCACTCCGACATCAGAAGAGTTGGCAAATCTCCGCAACACATCACACATGAATCAACTCCTGCAGTACTTCAAAGACTGGGACTCCAAGCACCCTCGAAACTTCTCCAGGACAGATGGAACAAGACCTTCACCAAGTTCCACGCAATCTGCGGAGGCCTTCCAAATGACGACTTTTTGCACCGCATTCCCATTGGAAGGGTTCAACATCGAGTGATGCAAGTGTTCCAGGAATCTGATCATCCTCATGAGCCTGGTTCTGATGTGGTGCCCACACTCTTGGCTTGTTCATACTGCAGTCAGGTATTTGACAGTCAAGCATTGTTGCATCGACATATGTCCAAGAGACACAAAGCAACACCAAATTCTGAACAAACTGTGAACTTGAGAGATGCTCTACATGGTAAACCACAATGCAGGCATTGCAACAAGAAGTTTGCACTATGGACTGGACTAATCCATCATATTGAGTTCATCAGTTGTCCAAGCTTCGATTCAAACAAGTCCTGGCAGGTACCGCCTTGCGATCAAGAAGATCTTCCTCAGTATGTCCGCAATCAGTCCTGGGAGGCGCTATGCCTCATTGATTGGTTCAGGTCACATTGTGTAGTATGTGCTCGGGCCTTTCAGACTGGCAAAGATATTCTCAGGCACCTTGCTCGCTGTCACCACTCGATGTGGGAAACCTCGAAAACCAGGATGGCGGAGATCGTCCTCAGATTGAACACCACCAAGGCCTGTCTGGCCTGTGGCCTTACACAGGCCGCTACTCACAGCTGCCATGCTCTCAGACAGTTTGCCATTGTGCCCATCATGCGTGAGCAGGATCTGTGGTCCCATGACCTCCTGAAGGAGTCGGTTTCCAGTTTGGAACCTGCCAAGCCAGATCCAGACAACCCCCTGCCGGAGAATGTGAAGCGCGGCAAGATTGGTCCCTCCACCAACAAAGAGAGGGACTTTTAGCCAGCACGAGACTCAGCGGGGGGGGACTCCAACGTGCAGTCACTGCATGAGGACTCTGGCCTCCTTCTTCGCCCTTCGGAATCACATTGAAAATGGTTGCAGGCACTTCAACGCCAACAGACCTCCAGGGAACCATGTCCCATGCGTGTGGCCCCAACTTCAAAGACTTTCCAAGGTGCATGATGTGAATCAGATCCTCCGCAACAGTGAGATCAGGCAGCTCTCAGATCCTGCTGCATTTTGTGTGGCAGGCAATCTCGAAAACCGGGTGGTATTGCACAGCACTTGGTACAGGACCATGCAGAACAACTTGAAGCTGCACAGGCATTGAAATCCAGATGCCAAAATGTTGCCGTAGCAAGTGGAAAACCTTGCCTTTGTGGAAATCACTCCACCAAACGTGGACACAAATGTGCGGTCTTCACGCAATTGGCCCTGCTTCATCTTGCATCCTCCCAGCAATCTGCAACTGAGAAGAGTGCTCCGGCTCAGGCAAGCACATCATCCATGGCTCCACAGGACTACTGGAACGACAAGCAATGGTGTTTGTGGCTTGGCAATCACTGCAGTGTTTGCAGTATTGAATGCACACCACAAGAGATTGTTGAGCACCTTCAACAGTGTCATGGAGAGCTCATGCCTGATGCTTTGGAAGCACTTCCTCAACGCTTAAGCCCGACGCCCTTCTGTTGCTCATAATACTGCTGGAAGGCCAGTGAGATCACAGATCCCTGTCCGCTCTCGTTGAACCTTGCGGTTCATTTGTCGAGCCATGCCTCACTTCGAGATCTCAGCCGACGACATGATGGGCCAACTCTCGGACACCTTTGGCAACCTGATCGATGGGTCGAAACCGCAATCCCTGAAAAGACCGAAACACGAGCAGGATGGGGGATCAAGAGATACCTCAGACCAACATCCAAACCTGATCCAGATGCTGGCCTCCCTGGATCTCCGACACGAAAGTCAGCTTCAGGCGATTGCAATTCAGGACACCTTCATTCTGTTCCTGCAACCGGGCCAGTCCAGTCTCATCCCGTTGATTCAGCAGTCAACGCGACAATGGAAACCAGATGTGGAAAAGAAGCAGGCCACGATGTCCCTACGACTGAAGTTGATCACCATGATCACCCAGAGCCTTTTGGGGAGAATGTTGAAGGTGGCCCAAGCTCAGCCTACAATGGAGATTTGGCGAGAAGCCCTGAAGCACCAGCTGATCACGGAGAGCCTGGAATCAAAAGGAGCGGCAACTTCAAGTGATGAACAAGCAGGCCATCACGATGACGAGCATGCAGAGCCTACTCGAGGAATTGGTCGAGCTGACCAGAGACCAAACGGCAGTGGTCAGGCTCAAATCCCTCAAGGCCAGCGATCAAGACTCAACCCAGTTGAAAGTCCTTCCATGGATGCTCCAAAGTCAGTCTTCGGTACTGCAGATGCTCTCGATGTCCGGAGTATGGAGCCTCCTTCTAGGAAGGCTCCGGCCACACACGGTGAAGGAGAACCCACTGGCAGCCAATTTGGCGAGAGCATCCTCTGGCCAATCGAGAAGGAGACAATAATGGGGTGGTTGATGACAGTTCGGCTCAGCAACACAGGCAATGACTGCTACCAGAACTCAGCATTGCTTGCCATGTTTTGGGCGCTGCTTCGACTTCGGTGTCCAACATGGAATGACCTGGGGAAGGAGCTGAAAAGTTTGCAGAATTGTTTAGCTCTGAAGGCATGTGGGTCAGCCTGAAAGATTTGCCCACGCTCGGAGCCTTTCTTCGTTTATGGGGAAATGAACAACATGATTTACATGAGTTCCTGAGCCGGTTTCTTCAATGGATCCAGCCTCGCTGTGTGAATAGCTCTTGGCGGCGAATTGTACAGGAAAAGGGAAAGATCTTATCCAAGGGTCAAGGGTCACCTTACAATCCGCCTACGCTCAGTGCACCAGCAAACACTGAAAAAATAGAGCTTCAACACCTGGTAGACTCCTGGACAGAATACATGGGTATGCAGACCACCTTCACAGCATGCAGCCGCCTCGCGTGTTTGCACATAGATCGTTTTGCCCTGGATCACCAAGGCCGCCCTTTGAAGCGGGAGTGGGACACAGAAATCAACCCAACGGTCTGGCCCCCAACCCAAGCTGAGGAAGAATTGGGCTTCACACACAAGCCCTTTACCGTAGTGGCTGCGGTAGCACACCAGGAAAGAGACGCTGCAGGGCACCTTCAAGCAGTTGGCCTCTCTGCTCAAAGATGGCTGATGTTCAACGACCTCCAAGAAGCCCAGGTCATGGGGCCCACTCCACCGAGGACTTCTGAGTGGATCTTTGTTTGGCTCGCCCGAGACGACTCTGTTGAATTGGGGCTCAATCGATTCGGTCTCACAGGCACAGATCTCTTCCCAAGGACCTTGGCTACCTTGTACGAGCTGCATCAAATGAAGTTGGAGAACTACCCGGAGGATGTTCTTGCAAGACTTAGGTCCTTTTGCAGCATTTGTGGCAAGCTCGTGGTCTCGCATGATGCCCTGAAGAAGCACGCTCGGCTGAGGCATTCTGAGCTAGGTCAGGTCATCAAAGTTGACCAATTCATGCAAGAGCACCGTGATTGTGCAAACTTACCATGTCATGGGTGTGGAGCCTGCTAAATTCTTTCATTCAGGCCGCTCAAATTGCATCATTTCTGCCAAGTCGAGCTCAACATTCGACTTGGAGTGGAGTATAACAAAGTGTTTCAAGTGCTGCAAAGCAGGCTGTTCGAAACTGGCCGCTCGAATGAAGAGCTGCAGGCACTTGATGCCATGACCAAAAGGTGATTCATTTCTCTTGAGAGCTGGTGTTCTCCGTGGCTTCTTCCATGATGTTGAACCCGGCCTCTCCGCATTGGCCTTGTGTTCTCCTGGATGAACAGAAATGAACCAGGCCTTTCTGCATGGAAGCTCCTCTGAGCCTGACCTTGAGGTTTGGCTGTGTGCTCTCTCCTTTGGAGATTGAGCTACGGCTCATAACTTACGGAAGTTTCTTTCTACAGTGCTGCCACAGTGGCTTTTGGCACTGAAGGTTCCTTTTTGAGAAAGATTTCATCTTCGAGTCAACCTACAGTCCATGATGGACTTTGGTGCACCCCGGTGCTTAGACTGACATGACATGTCAGCTAAGAAGAATACCTTCTTGAGCCCCAGCATTTGCGAGACCACTCGTGAGCGCCCGAAACTGAAAACTGAAAACTATGTATCTACCTATCTATGTAACTACCTATATCTATCTATGTATCTATCTATAAAACATTAATTATATAACTATTTATCTATCTATCTGCTGACTATCTATCTGTCTATCTATCTATCTATCTGTCTATCTGTCTATCTGTCTATCTGTCTATCTGTCTCTGTCTCTGTCTCTGACTGACTGACTGACTGACTGTCTGTGTGCATGTCGGTAGATAATAGGTGAACTGCTCACAAGCATTCACAAGCTGTCTATAAATGTTCCCCTACTTTCTGCACTTTCAGGCTGCTCTCCCAAACCACTGCCTCTGGCCGATCCCAGCGCAGCTCTGTCCGAAGCCTATGAAACCTCGCACGAGTCACTCCAACACCCCAGGGAGTCAAAGCACATTACGTTTCATTATATGAATGATGATGAATGATGAATCCTGTAGTTCATCCAAGCATGCATTGCACAAGCCATAAGCTTGACCCACGCCTGCGGAGTTTGTCGCACTTGTTTTTCTCTGCATTTCTTTGCGTATTGCTGCCAAAACCCTTCCGCAACATGCCGTACGAGCATCTACGCTAATCACCACGCAGAGATCGATTGATTTCTCTGAATGGCCGCCACTGTTGAATTGTCGCTCTCTGTGGCGTTGTCTCCAAAGAGGTTATCGAAAAAATCCTTGATTCCATCAAGAATTCCACTGCTTGCTTCCTCAACGTCAGTACTGTTACTGGTGGAATTTCCAAATGGCCAAGAAAAGGCAGGGATCGGGACGCGTGACTTTGTGGTTTCAGCTGCCGAAGAATTGGAAGCCTTTGGCTTGCCAACCTCCGTCTTCAGCTTGCTTCCTCCAGAGTCGCTCTCAGGCTTTGTCGGAGGCTTGGTATCATCTCCGCTGCGTGTCGCTTGTGTATACTCGGACCCTGTTTGGTTTGTCTGGTTTCCTTTCATTGCAGGCTCCGTCTTGACCTTCTCATTTTGCTTCACCTCTGATTCATTGCTTGATACTGCTGATGACTTTTCTCCGTCTGCTTCTGCTTGATCTCTTTCCTTCGACGGCTCTTCCTCCTTGTGCTTTGCCTCGAACTTGTCGATGGTTTTGCCTCTGGCTCCTTCCTTGAGCTGCTTCTTTGCCTCTTGTTTTGCCTCTGGCTTGTCAATGTCCTCCGCTGGTGTCTGCCGTTGTTGGTGTTCTTCTGCTGAGTCCTTCTCCTGTTCTGCATTCTGGCTAGCAGCAGCTGCAGCCGGTGTTGCATAGGTATTTTGGGAGACCTGCAGGCATATCAAGTGGCAACAAGAACCGCGCAGTCGCACACCATGCATAAAGAAGACAAATATTACATTACTCTATGACTCTATGTGTACCATACTGCAGTTTCATTATGACAAGTGTGTATAAATATGTGTATATATATATATATGCATGTGCACCATCTCCTCTCTGCAAGAACCGTTGTTGGCGGCCTGGAATCTGTTGGGAATTGTTGCCATTACGGGGATTGGAAAGAACATGCAAGAATTGAAAGGATATTAAGCAAAAATGAACGGAAAGCATTGCATTAAGAAAGGCAAGGAAGAGTAGAAGATTCCACTGCATAAAGCAAAGAAAAGCGAGGTGCCCAGGGACAATTGCAGAAAAGAAGGAAGGTGCGAGCGTTTGCAAAAAAGTTTGGAAGGGCCTTGTGCTGGAACAAGAAGCGCGCAGAAAAGTAGAGAGTGGGCAAACAAAATAGAGGAAATGCGGCATAGCATCCTAAAAGTCTGAATGGACTGTGATTTGGCAATCCAAAAGTAGCAACAATGAAGCCAAAAAAAATATATATACAGTATATAAAGACAAAGGGCCGGCAAAAGCAAAAAGCAACCAAAAGCCACCAAGAGCTGAAAGCCAAAGCAATGAATCAAATGAGCACTTCAGCGGAAACGAAAGTTAGAGAATACTTTGCTCATCCACCACCATCCGTAAGAGAAGGACCACAAATGCAAGCAGTAATGTAGTCTCTGATTCTTCAGCACTAGTGTCAAAAAAGAAACTTATTATATATATACATGCGTAAAAAATCGAACACTAATCTGGAACGACCTTTGCTGTGCTAAGCTGGATGCAATCACTCAAATGATGCTTAAGGGGGGCCCGCAAAGTGGGGGGTGGCAGGTGCCTTTTGTAGTAATAAATTAATTCGATCGTTGGTAACTATCAATTCTAGCCCTCCCCCTGTAAACAAGGACTTCAGCAGACCTCCTTCTTGAAACAATGTCCCTTCTTTTTGGGCTGACGTGCCTTGATCTCGGGCTTCTGTTCTGCCTGGTGGATGTGGATTACAATTTGCTGCTTGTCATTCGCAGCTCTGCCAGTTCTGTCGCCTTGCGTCACAGCAGCCACCGCTTCTCCAGCTGCTGCTGCTTCACCCGATGACTTTCCTCCCTTGATGGCATCGGCAGCCGCTGTGGCTGCAGCCTCAGCGGCTGATAGAGTGAGGCCATCATCAATCGCTTTGCCAGCCGCATTTGCTGATGCTAACGCAGCCTTGGAGTTGTAACCCAGCTTCAAGGCTTCCAAAGCCCTAGCTTCGGCAGCCGCAGCTGCTGCAGGCGTGTGAGTTTTGTCCAAAAGCTCCTGATAAATTGCAGCCCCCTCTGCCTTCTGCATGGCCTGGTCTGGAGGTAATCCTGCACTGAAAGCTTTCAACGCCTCCATTGCTCCAACATGAACAGATGATTGCGTCAAACCAAGTTGTTGGAGTGTGACGGTGGCGTTCGCTAGTGCTAATGAAGCTTCCGGCGATCTATTCTCGGCCAATGAGCGAATCACTAGCACCTTGCAACTTTCGAACAGCTCGCCAGGTGCAGCAAGCTGCTCGCAGAGTTTGTGTGCAGTGTTTGTCCGGTTGACTTTTATGGCTGGATCTTCAGCAGGTGCCGTTACTTTGGGCAAAGCGCCAGGTGCAGGAATCATAGCCAAAGGGACCAGCGGCATGGAACCCATAGGACCAACGGGACTCATGGAGTAGGCACTGTAGCCCATCCATGGGTTTCCATACGGTAGAATCACCGTAGCACCCGGTGGCCCTGGAGGGCCTGGTGGTCCATCTGGACCATCTGGCCCACGATCTCCATCAGGACCTCGAGGGCCTCGGCCTGGTGCCTGAGCGCAAAACAGCGCAGCACAAACAGCACATGACCTACTCAGTCCTACTAGCGGTGGCCTCCAATCTCACACCCGAGCTCCCTCACTTTTTGGAAATGCATTGCTTTAGCGCAGCGCAGCAGCACACTTGGAAATCCAACACGGTCGAGCAACATCGAAGCACAATTACAATTAGTTCCTCCGTAATGTCTACATTGGGACCCTCCACTCATTCTCCGTCACCAACGCAAAAAAATACATTGGTCCGCACACCTTACAACAACTTTGAGTTCAAGCGAACCGATTCTTGTGGCTTTTGGACAAGTTGGTGGCATGTTGGTGACCCAGTGTTGCTCGCGGCCAAAGTCTTGTCTGAATTCTTCAGATGCCCCACTCTTGTTGCTTCTGACTTCCAATCACTGCACTGTAATGTATGTTCTGACAGGGTGATTCACTTGAACACTACCCCGTAGTCCACCCACTGTTTCGGAAGGGGGCATATCAGTGAAATATGTATATAGGAAGATTGGGTTCGATTCACACTTCGATCAACACCGCAATGCAAAATTCCTTAAACAGTGACCGAGATTCTAAGATTCACTTGCATCACTTAGTGGATCTTAATTAGTGGGCAAGGTGACGGTGCAAAATGGGTGAATGCACTTTGGCTTGACAAATGACGAAGGCCGGTGATGGTTGGATGCGTTGCCTTATGTGCACCGATGAGAGCAGCTGCGCTAAACCTAGTAACTAGTAGCGTCCTTGCTCCTAGCAGTGAGGCCAGGAGCCCCTAGTAGCGTCCTTGCTCCTAAGTAGATAACTGGAACCTTGGGTTGTGGTTGTCCGCAACAAGTTATTGCCTTTACACCCACATTCACCCAGCCTGAACGGAGAGCACCAGGCTTCCGCGAAGCTGACCATTGAAGTCTTGAAGAGCTGCGGCCAAACATCTCACACATACGACACAGAGCAGCCGCAATCCAATGCGGCACTTCATTGTTCATGGATCGCCCGAAGCTGACCACGAATCATATTTGAGCCACAGGGCCCTTTCCAGCAAACGTCAAGAGTCAATTGTGTGGGTGGTCTTTGCATTATCACATTGTGACTTGCAGTACACACTCAACTTGTGAGGGGGTTCATGTTTGTTTGCGTGGATGTGTCTGGGTAAGTATGTGTGAGAGTTGTCAATCTGGGACTCTATATCTACCTGCTGCTCCTGTCATAGTCCAAACCTATCTCAATTCATTGAAATCTGGTGCACAGGATCATTCACTGAGCAGCTGGCCAGTCTCCCAGCTTGGGCTCGGAAAATGCTCCCCTCCTTTCATGCGAGTTTTTCTCCTAAGAGAATGATGGACATGATAAATTTGGGCCCTTTAATGAGTCCCCCTCAAAGGTGTCTCATGGTCCAAACACTTTCTTGTTCTTCTCATTTGTCTCCCTCACTCACTCCCTCTATCTTGCTCCATCCCTCTTCTGCCTCCACCTCTCTCTCTCTCTGTCATGTCTCGCATGTCTGTCTCACACTTAGACTGTCAAGCCTATCTTGCCTGTGTTTCCTGAACCCTTTTTTTCCCGAGCTCGCATCCAGTGTTTTGATCTTGCTCCTTTCACTACTGGTACTTCACGTCATACAACTAAACGGCCCAGCAACGAACCTACTGTCTTGGTACCAAGGACCATCAGAGATACTGAAAAGCAAAGTCCCATGAAGAACAGGACTGAGCAAATCAGACCTGCAACTACAGCTGAGTCGATGTAGGCTACTTGTACCTTCAAAGGGTCTGCAACATATTGAACGAAAGTCTGCTTGCCTTGCCTCTCGGTTGTCCTGCTGTAAGCTGCCTGCTGCAGCTTCACAGCAGATTGAAGGTCGTCAGCACTGGGTCCCATGGAGATGTCCGCCAAAAGCGGTGGGAGAACATCTGATGGATCTGGCAAGAGCATGCCATGGTGTGCTGAGGGGTTCCGGGCATCGTCGCAATTGAAATTCCCGCGATGGCTGCAGCAGTTGATGCCATATGCATAAAAGTTTGTGAGAGATCCCGGACTCATTGATCCGTCCACAATGGGCGCTACACAAACTAGAAAACCAGCAGAGGACTGAAACCCCACCGATCTGCTTCGGTCAACCATACTGCCAACAGCAAAGCTGACAATGCCAGCATCCTCAGTCAGTGTTGTGCCGCAGGCTGATTTCAAAGAGTGTTTTTGGCCTCCAATTGGCAATGCAGTAGTATGATTCGACGCAATACTGTATGTCTGAGACACTCTGCCAATTGCAAACTAAGACTCCAATATGCTCTCCGCAGACTGCGATGGCACCACGCTAGCATATGTTGAAGCGTGCTTGTAGTGGAAGTAGTAAATGGTGCAACTGTAGTAAATACTGCATCCTCCAAACCATCGCAAAAATGGATGCATGATGACGCACAAAAGTAAGATCCATGCGAACAAATGCTCTCATTCCGGCCTGTGAGAAGGCCACATGCAGCAGCCATCAAAGTCAACTTGGCCAAACGCTGTCGCCACATCTGCTTGTAGTTCTGCATGGCCTGGAATTGTGTAACGTTCTGATGGCCAAACATAGCTACTTAGAATCTACTTAGGCACTCGCCCAATCTCCGCTCTGATCTCTCTCGAAGCCCCTCAGGTTCGCACCCACAAGGACACCAGCACAAAGCTGGCTGCAAAGAATATCACGATCAGCGAGTGCCAGTACAGAAATCGGTTCACGAAGAAGAGGAGACCCTCAGAAAAGAACAACCGTCTCTCGGTTCCTTCACAAAAGCGTTGCTTCATAACAAAGGGCGGGTGCGGGCACGAGGAAACAGCACGCAAAGGCAGGCTATGCAATGCAAAATGCAAGGACAATCGAAGGCATCGGCCATGAAGAGAATCTGAGGAGCAGGAATAAGCATCAGCCTTGGTTGGCAAAGCAGCCTTGTTCCACACACAGGTGTGCATGGGAAAAAAATCCGCAAATCTGTTGCGACATGTTTCGACTGTTGCTTGGTGCTGCATTCCCACAACATCACTTTACCACTCTCGGAGCCAGTCCTGCTTCAGAATCTAATCATGCTATCCAAGTGTCAAATGCCAGCCAAAGTTCCGTGCGTTCACGGAGGCCAAGTATGCCTCATGCGTGATGCGCCCTTTCAGGTGACCCAAGCTGAATCTAGGATGCAAGCTATAGACTCAAAGTGCACTTGCCTCCTGCTTGCTGGCGACGGTGGCCAGTTTATTGTTGTCGAAGTCTGAACAGAAAGAAGGAAGTCAGCGAGTCAAAAACCAAGAAACTGCTAAGTTTACTGCTCCACCACCCACCACTTAAGCCAAGAAACTTCCAAGCAAAGGTCTGGCTTCATGCTCACGGGCTTCCAAGTCCATGGCCTCAGACGCCAAGATCGCTGTAGTTTGCAGGTATTGTCTCGGCCAACTAGCCTGGTGGACCAAGCCAGCTTCAATGTGCGGGGTCTGCTTTCGCAGTACTTGAGCCAACACACGTACCATAGCAAACGCTGGTTCAAAGTAGTTTTGAAGGGTCATCCACTTTGCAAGCACTGTGTCAGTGCCAGAAATGCTTCACCAGTCCTGTAAGACACGAAACTTCGCCGTTCATGATCGGAAACGATCGTCATCCACCCACTTGCAGGGCCTCAGAAAGTGTGGATTCAATGGCGTGGAGTGATCCAAATGCAGCGCTCCAATGAGCCAATTGGGCACGCCACCACTTTCAGCTGCAATTGGGCCTGCCCGGCCGCCAAAAAGCAGAGGGACCTCACGGAAAGCTGGCAAACACTGGCACTTCCAAAAGTTCACTTCAACTTATTGAAAGCCATCAGCGCTTCCAGGGCCATCAGGGTGTGTGTGTGTCCACCCCTGGGCCAAGGGTTTCCTACCACCTCTTCCACTACCACTTTTCAACCACAGTTTCACCGGCAGGGGGGCAGTGAATCTCATTCCATCCACTGCCCAACGAAGACGGTGGTTTGAGATTGTGAAGCGAGAAAGGACGCTTTCTCGTGTACCTGCTGAGTTTTCCACACGCTGTCACCCTACTCTTCCACGTTTTGATTCATGGTTCTTCATGCTCCCACCCCCAAAATTTTTTCCTTGCAGCTGTGCCGCGCCGACGTTTGACACCGCCGATCTTGTGAGCTGCAGATGTGCACCAACTGTTGTTAAACAATACTTTTTCACGGACTCTGCCACCTTGCCGTTCCCTCACCATTTTCGACCTGGGAACTGAGTGTAACGGAATACAATTGTCAGAGTGTGTTTCGCTCAGCCGTCCCACTCGGGTGCTGAGTGTGATCCCCGTCACTGGGGCGCTGTCTCATCGTGCAAGCACTAACTGACCTCACCACTCTTCACAGGATTTCCACCGGAAGTCACCTCCACAACCACAGAATTAACTGCCACCATGGCTGCCGAGCCTCACCACGGGAATTGACGTTTGCACCATTCCGCCACGTTTCTGCAATGTTTGCATTTTTCTGCATGTTTTCCGCATGATTTTAATATGAGCTCAAGCAATCAGACCGGATTTTCCAACAGTCTAATTCGATGTGCATGAACACACCACTACACCACCTACTATTATGACATAAAGCTGCCTGCTATGTCTGAAAAACCTTAAAATAGATATTTTAGGAAAATAATAGTAATAAAATAGGAAAAATAGGAACTGAAAATAGGAAAAAAAAAGGACACAAAGAGGATGAGTCTCAAAAATAGGAAAAGAAAAGAGCTGGATTTAGAAATAGGAAATGAAAAAAAGGAAAAGAATGGCAGCACTCTAGGACAGGAACATAAAATGGACCTAGCCCCAGTGGACCCAGGTCTGGCGGACCTAGTTGCAGGGTACCTAGGCCTAGCCCCGGTGGACCTAGGTCTAGCGCTAGCCCCAGTGGACCTAGGCCTAGCCCCGGTGGACCTGGCCTATTTTTCTTATGTTTCCTAATTTTTTCCTATTTTCAATTCCTATTTTTCCTATTTTTCCTAATTTTTCCTATTTTTTAAATTAAAAATAGTAAAAAATAGGAAAAAATTACTGTAGGAAAATAGGAAAAATAGGAAAAATAGCCTCCCCCCCAAATAGGAAAAAAATACGAAAAAATTAGGAAAAATAGCCCTCCGTGGACCTAGGTCTGGCGGACCTAGCCCCAGTGGACCTAGGCCTAGCCCCGGTGGACCTAGCCCCAGTGGACCTAGGTCTGGTGGACCGAGGCAATGATCCTCTTTTATTCCTATTTTGTGTTGTCAGCCCTATTTTATTCCTATTTTTGGGTCCTATTTTATTCCTATTTTTCCTAAAAATAAATATTTTTGAACACTCCAGAGATAGCAATAGCTTTTTTTCATAAACCTACTACATTCCACATGAAGACAACTCCTGCAACTCAGCAACAACACACAAACACCTTCAGCGCAAGCATCACCCTCTCCAACTTGAATGATCACACCACCTGCAGTATCCGCTACCGCGCCGCGCCGTCGCTGCCGCCATTTTGAAGACTTTGCTGCACAACGTGACGATCTTTCAACAACCTGCTACTGGACGCCTCATGCAGTATCCCTGGCCATATTCACATACCGCACCACCTCCACTACCCGTCGTCTCCACACAACCGACAGCACCTTTACCGCAGCCACATGCCGCACCAGCATTTCCTTACCCACAACATCCAACCTACCCTGTACCACAACCTCACACATTTCCAGCTCCACAACCTATTTCGATTTCAACTCCACCACCTTTTCACTCAGCACCGACAGCCACAATGCCTTATGGCAATCCCTCCACATGGACGCTGATGCACCCTTCTCAGTCACACCCCACACAACCACAACCCACCTTTCAACAACAGGCACCTCCCCCATCCTACCTTGTGCAACAACTGCACCACTCCCCACCTGCAGATCCCACCATCGCCACACCAATTCAGCCGCCTCCTACACCTCAACAAATACATTCCGCTACCACTCCAACAGAACCCCAATGGCACATGCCACAAGGGGCTTGGCAACCCTACTCAGCATTTCCCCCGTTACACACCCCTTGAATCAATCTCCATCACAACCACAATTAGCCCTCAGTGACTCGCCACAGATACCACCACCACCCCAACAACCGACACCACTGGATCCCACCGCTCCAGCTCCCAACCTCGCCACCACAGCCACCGGCTCACAACCCTCTCCATCACCATCCATTGCCTCGGCCCCACCGGCCACAGCGGCCCCAGAACCCATCACCGACATACCCGACAATACCGCTTCACCAGCCCCACCATCTCCCCATCCCCCACACAGCAGTTGCCGCCACCATCACAAGGGCCGACATAAGACAGACCATCATCGACGCGGCCGCCACAGACCGCCGCCGGCGGCGACATCGCCACCACTCCAGAACCACCCGACATCACAGTTCCTCTTGGCGCCACCGCTCGCCATCCACATCCACTTATTCCTACACCCCCACACCTTCCCACAGCCGCTCCAGACAGCCGATCGACCTACGACCCAACACAGATGCCTCTACAGCAGACAACACCAACACTGACACCTCCAAATATCCACTCACACCAGTGGTCCGTCGACCTCCCAACCGATGGCGACCCACACCATCCTTTCAGACTCTACCGCCAAAAGAGCAAATCCTAGCCTGGCTCGATTTCCATGCTGACCAGCTGGACGCTTCCAACCGACCCCAACACCAATACCTAGCCAATCTCCTCTCTGACAGCAACATTACATACAAAGACCTCAATGACTTCCGGCAATACACTTATGTAAAGTGGAATGAAGCAACCCAGCAATACGATCAGTTCCAATACAGCGCCATCTCACTACCTTTCCTCCACACCAAAGCCACCAACCCCACACCACCACCCGTTTCCCGTGCAACTTCCACTCACAGGGAAGTCGCCCACATCAACGCCGGCCACACAGGCAACATCACAAACATTCTACGACAAGGCCGCTTTCTACCCAGCACACTCCACTTTGCCAACTATCCTGGCTTTTTGCTCAGGGCGTTCGCATTACCCACAACCAAAACCACGACCAAGGCGAGTTTGCTCGCATTATCCACAACACCTGGCAACTCCACAAGAACACCCACTCCCTCATCATTACGCTCCTATCATGGGGCGCCGCCACAAAATACACTTCTGGCGGCGAAGAGCAGGCCATGACCCTTCTGAACGACTACCACGGAGCCGTCTTTCACCAGAAAGGCAGTTGCTGGGTCATCCACCCCGACCATGCAATTTGTCAACGGACTGGCATGGTCCATCAACGCCACTCCACCAGACCTATGACATTTCCACATCCCACAACCACCATTTCCAACTTTTGTTTCACCCAGCCACACTCTCAACTTCGTCCACAGCAGCAAAAACAACGCTAGCGTTTGCGAAGCGGCTTCAAGTTTGGATCTTGCTTTAGTCTTATTTCACATGCCAGCTTGATTTTCACACTGTGAAGTTTTCAAGTGAATTGTCACTTTTTTGCCACGCTTTGTTTTTTCGAATTCATTTCCTTTGCATTTTGGCCCGCTCGTCTATTTAATTCACTTGCACGTTTTACCGTGATGCTGCGCCGCCGATGCCCCGCCGCCATGCAGCTGACCACCGCGCCGCAGCTGAGAAGTAAGAAGTACCAAGAAGTGTGCAGAACTCCAACTCCTTGCCCCTCCAGCATCCCCTCCTCATGACTAGCACCAACAGCCCTCCACACGATGACACCAATGCTCTTTTACACCAAACAACAGTGGCGCTTTCTCAGATTCACAACCTTCTACGACAAGCAACAGACATCATGGCAAACCTCCACACTCGCTTTTTACACCACATCGGGCAAGCGGATCCCACTTTCCGCCAACACTTCCAACAACTACCACCACCACCAACATACTCCATCAACTTACCCTCTCCAACCTCTTCCTGCGACTCTGCACCATCCCGACCACGCGTTCGCCCACCACCACCACCACCCTCCAACAACTCCGACGACGCACCTTCTCCTTCCCCTCCACCAAAGCCACCACCGGCTCGCAAGCGCAAACAACCACCACCACCGCCACTCAACCCACATGCAGACTGGGATGCCTGGGACGGTGACGCCGATTGTCGCCTCGTGGAGCTCAAAAGCAACCCAAAACTTCGACCCAATTGGGTCTTTGTTGCCCGACGGGTCGGAGTCGGACACTCCGTTGAGCAGTGCCAAGCTCGGTGGAAAGAGCTCAAAGATCTACAGAGACTATATACAAGATAAAAAACCGCCTGATTCCACTCCACCCGACACAGACCCAGCGAAGGTGACACCACCACCGCAACCACTACCTTCCATTCCGGACCACATTTCACCTACACCTACCTCACCAGCCAACACACCACCGCCACCATCACAGGCAGATTTCTCACCATCCCCAACGACTACCCCTCGGTCTACACACGAAGCATCACCACATGAAGCTTTGCCACTGCAGCCGGCTGCTGAGCGAGCGCCCAGTGAGAACAGGCATCCGGAGCCGCTTTCTGACACGCCTATTGGCAGCTATTTCATTTGATCGGTTTCACCCACTCTCCCAGGCGTGCCGCAGGATAAATTCACCAGCGTATCCTTTCGAATTTCGGATT